ACTTCTATCAATCGAAAGGAGACTGCGACCACACCAGAGGCCACAACATCTTGGTCTTCATATATTGTTTAAGCCTGTTTTCGCAACTTGTTTATATTGGTAGGAAGACTTAGAGGAACGCACCTAGTCCGGAGTTCATTGTATGCATGAGCATTTCCAGAGTAGGACCGTGGACGTGGTACATTTCCAGACGTTTCGCTGGCATCGTAGTCAAAATTGTTAGTGTATCGCCGGTCTTAGCACCATATAACAACTCGACAAAGAAACAAGTGAAGCCGATCCTTTGACCAAACGTGTGCTAAACAGTTGTGGTATCTCCCCTTCTGTCCTGGGCTATTCACACCTCCTATATCCTCATATCACACCGTCACTGTCACGATTTTTTCTCTTACTTAATTAAATCTAATGTGATGCAACCCTTTGAGCAGCTTTCATGAGAACCCTCCGCACTTTACGCTGGCGTCCTCACTCCCCTTAACCCTTGTGTGGGAATGTTGATCAGAGTCCCTCCCTTGCCCCATAAGATCAGTCTATCCTTTCCCTAGTTCACATATTTTACTCGACCCCTGAAACCTCATCCGTGTCACTTGAGGCGTTATGCGTCCTCCCTAATTCGAGGCTAAAGCCTCTGAGTAAGTCTCATGGTCACGCCTTTGCCACATGGACCACGTCTCTTATAAAACCTACTGTCAGTCATCTTGCTCCAATTACAGCCGCGTCTATCCTGTCTCTATCCTCAATACCAAGTGTATAACTTGCTATGCTCTAGTCTCTTGTGTGCCAACCCACAAATGTTGTGGTACTGCTTGCTTTAATTAGGTTCAATGTTTAACCACAACGTTCGTGGCTTTGACACATAAGCAACTAGGGCATGGCAAGTCATAGACTTGGTATTAGGGATACCACAACTATTTAGCACACATTTGGCCAAAGAATAGGCTTACTTGTCTCTTTGACGAGTTGTTATATAGAGCTAAGAATAGCGATACTAACTGACAATGTCGACAAAGATGCCGGCGAAACGTCTGGGAATGTACTACGTCCACAGTACTACTCTGGAAATGATCATACATATAATGGACTCCGGACTAGTTGCGTTCCTCTAAGTCTTCCCACCAATATGATCAAGTTTCGAAAACAAGGTTAAACAACTTCTTGACTAGAGACAGTTTGAATAAATATCGAATAAAAATAAATAAAATATCCACTTAAAAAATGAAGTCGATTAAGTGTAGTTAAAGGACCACCAAATAATCAATGATAATAAGAGAAAAAATTATAAGGTAGCTCCGATTAAATGCAAGATAAAACCGATTGAATTATAATCCCACTAAAGCAAATGAATGACAGATCTGGCATGTAATCCAGGAGTTTTACCTGCTGCCCAGAAGTCTCAACTTTGTTTAGAGAATCCGAATCTTTGCTCGTCTCACTCGATCCGAGAGCTTCGCCGAGGGCAGCTGATATGGGACCAGAGGTGGCAGGAGGAGCAGTGTTTGCAACAGCTGTAAGCGTCATCTCCTTCTGAGCTGTCTGGTTTTGACCTCCAATGGGCTGAAGGCCGCTGGCACTATCGCATAATACATGGAAATGCGCCGTGCTTGGAGGACCTAGGCTTGCGGCGACTGCCAACTTGGCGGCCTCGCTAACTCCTAGACCAAGGCCTGCTAGGGAGCCAACACCAGCAACACCTGAGTTGCCAATACCGACGATACCAGAACCAGAACCAGTTGTAGCTGTGAGGGGAGCGGCAACCTGATAATTGATGAGACCCCATTGTTCAAGAAAAGCGTGTACGCGGAGAATGGCGCACACGTCGCCTGTCAGATTCCGTCGACAAGCAGTAAAGGTCAGATATTCCTAAATAAACAATAAACAATTAATTATAAATGAATCCAAGCATATAAGATTTTCTGGAAATAAACAAAATAATAAATGAAAACTTAATCCGATAATAAGACTTATTAACAATCCGCAGTGACTTAGTCGGAATTATCTAGCATGCAAATATGATGATGGTGTATGAGATGTATTCACGTTATTTCGTTTAAGGCAGTGATTCCCAAATTGTGCCCTGCGTCGCCCCGGGGAGCCGCGGCTTCTTTACAGGGGTGCCGCAAAATATTGTAAAAGCTTTATAATTAATTTAACCTAGACTTAACTAAACAAAAACGTGAGAAAACGCTGCGTCTTCTCGATCGCGCCATATTATCGCACTAAATACGTCGAGATGCGTAGAACCTTCGCGAAAATTTCGAATGTTCTGGACGATCTT